TTATGAGGCCAGGGATGAAAACTTTGCTGCTGCTAAAGTTTCTGTTAGAAAGCCCAAGGGCTACCCCCTGGCACTCCTGCCTGTGGAGTATCAGGTTTCCTATGAAAGACTAGTTGTAAGGATTTCTTAAGAAGTTATGCTGTGATGATCTCATCATGGGAAATGAGGGAAGGAGAAGATGTGACAGATATGTTATTGTGCTGAAAGTCCTGTTTCAAGAAAACAAATGCAAGATTGTATTCATTAGCAATCACTAACCACAAAACATGGAAGAAGTAGTTAAGCCAATAAGAAATAATAATCCACATCTGATGTAGTAATCTTGGATGATTTGGGCCCCCCGGGTAGAAAGGATCACTTCTGGTAACAGAAACAGAATGGAGGGGAAATTATAAGAGGACTGACAGGTTCCCCTGACCCCCCATGCTGGGGATGGACCTGGAAACTTGCACATACTAATATGTGTTCTACCATTGAGCTACACCCTGGGCCCCAAGGGCTGGTGGATTCAGAGTGCCCCATTAGAAGAGGATGGGTACATTTCTCTCATCACTGCAGCAACTGAGCACTCCTTTGAGGATTAAGACTATGGCAAGTTGCCCTGGAGATAACCAGGCAGTGCCGCAAGCCCGTCTGAAAACAAATGCCCAAGAGACCCTGTGACTCTAAAGACAGCAAGATTAGTAGTTAAGGTTCAGTATCTAAATTGAGATTATGATGTCTGGATTTTATGGGGCTTATTTACTGTTTTCCATTAGGGTGTCAACCCGGCCAGCATCACATGCTGGACTCCCTGTTCTCCAAGCCAGGGCACTTGATCTTATTCTTCTGTCAGAACTCTTAGTCATTCTGATCTGTGCTCACTTCTTGGAGCCTTTCATGGTCCAAATCTAAGAGCAGGGCCAGGACTAGAGGAGTGAGGCAGGAAAGGAAGTAGTGTATCTACTCCTTTGGTGCAAAATTAAGGGAGGTGCTACTTTCAGGTGCAAAATTAAGGGAGGTGCTCACTTTCAGGTGAGCACAAGTGTGAAACCTAATTTGAATAATCTATTTATTTGTATATGGGAGCTATTAGTAATCAACAACTCCCAATAAGATGGAAAGTTTACCCTTGTATAATGACATTACCTCCATTTTGATCTGTTGTTTTGCCTTTGTCTCAGACCTCCTATTAGGAGGACACTGCTGACTCACTAGCAGCAGGACACAAGCTCCGAGACAGATTCCTGGTATTGGGAATGTTGTCAGCCTGGGCTATGGAGAAGGAATAGGAAAGGGAGAGGAGCTGGGGAGGGGGAGAACAAAATGGGAAAGGGTGAACAATAAGAAGAGGGCACAGTGGGTCAGAAGGAGGCTGCTAATTATACAAGCTTATTTATAGTTTGTTATTTCGTAGTGTATGGGTTGAAGTTGGGGTGGGGAGTTCCTGGATGATCCTCCTTGGAGAATCTGTTCCTCTCTCTCTTTATGCTGCTCCTGTTATTTTGCCTGCCAGATGCTTCCAGATGTAAGCATTTAGATCTAGACATCTGAAGCCTATTTTAAGATTCAATTCCCAGGAATAGGAAGATAGAAAGCAGGAACCTGCAGCGGTCACTGTGTCCCATACACAGCCCTATGCTGGATTCAGTCATCAGGGGGAAATGTGGTTGCGTTAGACTAGACTGGATGGAATGACTCTGGATGGCAGCTCTGTGAGCCCTAAGTGAGTGGGCAGAGCCAGGTGATGGGGGCAGTGGCCTTTGCCAAGATGTCAAGGACGGGAGGCCTGAAAATGCAAACAACTCGGGAAACCAATGCCAAATTAATTGGTTAAGTGTCAGAGCAACCCTCAAGAAAATGCCCAACTGGGGCCTTAAGCCCAGGCATGGCCAAAAATTGATTTTTCTTTCTTAGAGAAGCATACAAAATTAATAGATTTGAGTATCATTCTTAAGCAAGGCATCCCAATTTCTCTGAGCTGCTTTCTAAAAGATGGGTTGCTTTGCTGCTCTAAATAGCCAGGAACGTCTTTACAGCCCCCACTTTTAAGCTCTTAAGGGATCCAGTTTGTTTAAGTGCATTTAAATAGATGAGAGAAATACTTGTCCTTTTGTATGTCAAAAGGAGCAAAGGGAAGTAATTTCTGATTTTTCACAGTAATCTTATAATTTCTGCCCTGATGTAGTACTCAGCCTTCTGGTACTGTAAGAAATAAATTAGATAATCCACTTATAAAGAGAAAAGTTTGGACTGGGGATGTGGCTCAATGGTAAAGCATTTGCCTTGTATGAATGAGACCCTAGATTTTATCTCCACTACTGAGAAAAGAAAGAGAGAAGGTTTATTTATTTATTTATTTATTTATTTTCTCCCAACTTCTGACCAGTGAGTTTCACTTTCATCTCATTGGCCACTCCAGCTGCAAGGGAATCTGAGAAAGGAAGTATTTGCAGCTATGCATAGAGCTTCTTAGAACAAAACTACTCTGTTGGTAAGGAAGATGAAAATAAATTTTAGGAGACCATTAGTCTAAGGGCAAATGAGAACAGTGGAAGAGCTTCAAGTGGCAGAGGGACAATATAGGAGGAGTCATAACTTTAAAAAAAGTTCTCTGGCAGCTGAGGAATTAGAAGAATAAGCAATCCTCACAGCAATCCAGTGAGGAGTGATAGGACCCCAGATGAGGCTGGGGTGGTAACAGGATATTCAGAGAAGGGATGGTTTCCCAAGATGTTCCTGTGCATCCCTTCATGCCAGTTTGGATATTGGCAGTGAGGGAGTGGGAGAAGTGTAGGCTGAATCCTGGTTTGGGGCTTGAGTTCTTCCAAGATATCTAGGAGGAGAAATGGTTTTAGGAGACAGATGATAGTCCAATTTTGCACATGTTGAATTTAAGGAGACCAGAGGATTTGTATGTAGGGAAAGAAAGTGGGAGAAGGCCTGTCCCAATCTGGATTTTCTAGTTTGTAACCTCTTTGGGGAAATTGAGGCAAAACTAGAGACAGACTGCTCTGAATCATCCATGTCGGTGCTGGCTTAGGAAGCAGGAGGGGAGAAGCGGGTGGGGGGGTTGTCCAGAACAAATTTCCATCCTAAATGTCTCTGCTTTTTATGGGAATCTCTGTGAAGCATCCCTACTCCCAAGTAGGCAACCAGAAAACATTCTGTGAACTAAGGAGACTCCTATGTGCTGGAATGATCACACTAGCTGTCTACGTCCAAGTGTCTGGCCCAATGTCTGAGTGTCAGATGAGCTAGTCCTACACACATACCATCGGTGCCTCTATGAAGCTGCTTCTCTTTCCTGAGGGGTAAGAGAGCCCTAAATTCTGTTTCCAGGAATGACAGCTGATACCCATTTCTTTCCCTCCTGGCTTCTGCTCTCTGTCAGTACAGACTGCCCTTACTGTTCCTTCATTGTCCATCAAGGCTGAGTCACATCTTCCCTGCCAGATTCTAGATCCTCTAGTACAGAACCTGTGTCACTAATGCAGGGCCCAGATTGACTCTTCATGAAAGGAAGGAAAATTCCTTTAGATCAGTTCAAATGCTGTCTCTAGGGTCCTGCTGCAGGGTTTCTGGGTCTCTCAGCCCAGGGACACCTCTGCCTGGGATACTTTGCCCCAGGTTGCTGGACCTACAGAGGACTATTCATTCTGAAACTTGTGAGGCCTAAGGGACAATGGGAAGCAGTGTGAATTCATCCACAGTCCCTAGAGGTGATGACCATTATCAAATTCTATTCAGAAATACTTGTGCACATAGACACAAATACAGAGAGTTGCTTGAGTGTGTTCACAAATATACACACCTGTGCCCCACTGCCCTACTCATACCTCAGGGATGAAGTTCAGTTTGTCCAAGGGCACATATATCAAGGGACAAATCCTGTCTCCTCCCTAAAGAGCTGAGTGTCTCCAGGTAAATTACATAATCTTTGTGTCTGAATCTTCTTATCTGTAAAACTTAGAATAATAGCATTCACCTGAGTTGCCATGAAGATTAAATGAGATAAAATGATGAAGAGCTTAAAATAGTGGCTGACACATCAGACAGACACAACAGTTTCATGTATATTTCCTAAGTGCTCTTCAATATTGCTGCTGTCACTTGATGGCAAGTCTGGCAACAGAGCAAGGTTGGAATCACTTCGCCCCTCTGAGCCTCGATTTTCTTATCTTTAAAATGGGAATAACATTATTTTCTTAATAGGGCTGTTTTGAGGATCTAAGAGGTCCAGAACAGAAAGCTCCCAACCTAGACTCTGTCCTACAGCAGTCCCTCTACATTTGAGCCCTTCCTGATTGTGTGAGGAAGAACAGATCCAAACACAGGTGTGGGGGCCAGATGCACAGAGGTAAAATCTGGTAGGGCCTGACTCCCATCTCCTCCCAGGCTGGAGTTAGAACCTGTAAGGGCAAAGCCAAAGGCAGAGGTGTCAGGTCTACTCTTTTGGAGCCTGGGCTGATCAGCAACCTGGCATGGGGTCGGGGACAGGGCTGGTCTGATAGTCGTGGGTGGAAGGAAAAGAGGAAACCAACTCAGCAGAAATTGCCCTGCGGTTGGCTCACGCGCCCACGACACTGTATTTATAGAGAGCTCCCAGCAGCTCTTAATTTCTCGTGGTCGAGTTAACCCTTTCCGAGCCGCTGTGCCTGCCTAGAGTCGAGGGAGAATAGAGGACTGGGATCGGACAGTCAGAATCGAGCTCTGCTCTGCGACCAGCAGCCCGGAGGGTGGGAGTGGTCAACGGCCAGTCACCTGTCCTCTCTCACCGAAAAGAAACTTTGGCTTTTGAAGCGTAGGATACGGGTGGGGGAAGGGCAGTGAGTAGACCGTAGACCAGCGCCACCTTCCCAGAGTCTTTCCCTCCAGAGTCGCGACTGGGGTCTGGGGCGGGGTCTAGGCCCGCGGTCCTGCCCAGCGGGCGGGCTCGCTCCAGCTTTTGCCCCAAACTGCTGCTGCAGGGCCAATCCGGCCTCCGGGGCTCACCCGGGCCGCCTTTCCGGGCCCGCGGCTTCCTCCAGTCCGCCCCGCCCCTCGGACTCTCCGCCGCCCCCGGCCCTCATTCGGGCCGGGCCTCGCGGCGGCTGCGGCGACTCAGCTGCGCTCCGCCGCGTCCCCGAGTCCCGGGAGTCGGCGCAGCGCGGTGAGTGCTTGCGTGGCGCGGCACGCAGCGGCGCGGAGCGGAGCGGGGTGGGGCGGCCTTTGTCTGCTGCGGGGCCAGGGCCGCGCGGCCTGTGGCAGGGTGGCTGGAGCGCGGCCGGCGCCCCCTCCCCCGCAGCGCCCTGCACCCCAGCGCTCCCGGGCCCCTCCTGCTCGGCACTTGTGAGCGCGCGGAAGCCGGGCCGCCGATCGGGCCCTGGCGCTCGGAGTCAGCTGCGGGCTCCAGGACGCACCGCACCCCTAACCTGGCTTTCCCTTCCCTGGGGCCGAGAGCCGGCTGGGGCACTGTCCGGCCCTGGTAGAGCCGCTGTGGGAGGCTGCGTGGGTGTCTGTGATGACTGAAGCCCTGGGTGTGGAGCTGGGATGGGGGCAGATCTTGTCATTGTTGGCGGTTCTGGAAGCTTAACGAAGCGGCTGTCCGGGGCTGGGAGGGAAGCAATCTCTGGGGCCCTGCCGAGGCAAACTCTCTGCCTGCCATCTCTGAGGAGGGGGAGCCGCGGAGAAGAGGAGCGCGGGTGTTAGGCGGGTCCACCGTGTTTGACCCTGAAGAATGAAGGAGTGGATCATTGAGGGACTTCCACTGGCTGCTGTAGGAATGAGAACAGATTCGGGGAAGGACTGGTAGGGGCAGCTTAAGAGGACCAAGAATATTAAGTGGTGATGCGAGAACGGGATGGGGCAGTTTGGGCTTGGAAAGTCCTAGAGAGATTGGGGTGAGGTAGGATGGAGAGGAGTTGGGGAAGACAGTGGAGGGAAGGTAGGGGTGCAGGGTGGACACACTAGAGCAGAGAGGGTTGAATCTCAGTGCCCCAGGGGCCCTCCATTGCTAAGGTTTACTCACCAGTTGGCCGATTTGGGGAGCCTAAGGCAGTGAACTGGCAGAAAAGGGGATTTATTTCTAAGCCAAACCTGCCTAATGAGAAATGTGTGATGGATGACTCAGACATGGGATCTATCATTGAGGGAAAACATTAAGCAAATAGTAAAGCAAAGATTTCTGTGTGTACTTGGTGGGGGTGGGGTGTTTGATTTAATTGAGAAAACCTATTTATCCCCTTTAAAGTGATTGTGGATAATCTGTAAATGAGCCTGATCTCTTCATTGAATTAAGGCCCCAAGTCCTTTTCTTATGAGCATGTGTGTAGTAGTTACTTTCTATATTTGAAAGTAAGGAAGCTGTTTGAACTGTAAGAGAGCTCTTTATTTAGTTGAGCCTCCTCTCTAATTCCCTTGGGCCTCCCAGAAATCCCTAGGAAATATGATGCTGGGCAGCAGTTTCCTTGTAGCTTAGGGGCCTGCAAATTGATGGGACATTTCTGAAAGCCAGGGAAATGGAAGTCTGTACTTGAAATTGAATTCTAAACCTGTGGGATGGGTTGGGCGGATCTGAGCAGCAGGCAGAGATGGAGGGCCCTGGGGCTGCTGGGTAGGAAGTGGTGGCTCAGGTTTCCAGTTTGCTTGGGAATGGGAGTATTGTGGATGTATGCATTTCCTTGATTGCTGGAGTTTCCCAGCTTAAGCACTAATCCTTAGTTAACTGTGGGCCATGGGAATCACCCCCCCCCATGTTGGCTGTGCCACAGTCAGCTTAAAGAGTGTCCTGATGTTAATGAAAAATTTCCACATGATTTTTGGATCAGCCCTGTGAACATCAGTTTTGGCTCTAAGACATATGGCAAGGAGATTCTTAAGGGAGAAAGCTTTTGCTGGTGCAGTAAGTGGCGTCAGCTGCATCATTTGTCCCATGACTGATCTCCAAAGTTCTAAGCGCCCATGGCATCAGTGGGGTCTTCTGTACCCCTGCAGGGAGCTTTCTAATACACTATAGATTCCTGTGCTCTGAGAGATCAGACCATGGAGCTTGTGAGAGGAGAATCCTGAGCTGATGCAGCCTCAGTGTGAGAAGAGGTGTTGGGATTTTGACCCAGTTTTCCTCTTGTCCTTGTCCTTTAGCTCTGTCCCCCCCCATCTGATGAGGCAGGTTGACTGAATGTCCGAGATGCTCAGATACCTGACAGCTGGGTTGGAAGCTTTAATGCTTTTGAGGGGAGTTATAGAAGTGGTGTTCTTTCAGAGTACTCCTTTAGGGAGTCTGTGTCATGATCCTAGTGAGGCTGGCTCTGAACCTTCCTGTGGGAATACCCCTTCCTTAAATACTGGCCATCTCTGCAGTAGGAAATCTTCATTATTTGGAGTAGGATTTGGATTTGATACTGAAGTGTGCAATACTATTTGGGGTCAGAGATACAGTGTGATCCTAGAGCCATGAGTTATATTCCATACACTGGAAGAGACTGCTAGGAAGTATTGTACAAATGCCCGTTGCCAGATGATTCTTTGTTGGACATACAGGGCTTGGGCCATCTGCAGAAAAATGACCAAATCCAAGCAACCTCTGAGATTATAACTGCATGGGGGCTGCTGAGCTGTGGTTCTGAGTCACAGGGTCAGGGGAGAATTAAGGGAAGGATGACATCACTGTCCATTATACTCTGAGTGGGTAGGACTTTTCATTGCTGTCCTTTTCCCATGTCCCTGGGCAGTAGGGTCAGGGAAGTCCACCAGCTAAAGAGAAGGTTATAGCCAGGGCCTGGGGGTGTGATGGGGTCAGAATGGGGTCAGATGGGGTCAAAATGGATCACGCTTCCGGGGAGGATCACACTTCGGGGGAGGGTGCCACCCTGGTTCAGCCACCCTGTGGTGGAGCATTGGGTTTTCCCTTTTTGGGGACAGATCTATACAGGGTGTTTAATAGATGTTATCTGGTGTGATTATCATAGAAGTCCTATGAGATGGGGGATCCTTAGCACCATTGCACAGACAAGGAAACCCCAGGCCCAGGGAGGGCAAGTCACGTGCCCAAAGACACACAGTTGGCAAATGGTGGAAGTGATCTATTGTCTGCCTAAAAACTGGCTCTTTCTGACACTCTGAAGGCAGCCGCTAGGTTTTACACTCATTTTGGAGCCTAGCAAACAGGTTAAGTAAGGGTCCCCTAGGGTGGAGAAGACTCATCTGGGGAGCTAGGGAGAAGGACGCCCCAACCTGGAGACCCAGAGACTAGTGTTCCTCACAGTATGGTCAGGGCCATTGCTGCTAGTTCTCACTGTCCCAGAGGCCTGGTGTTTGTCATAGTGGTGCCTCCAGGAGTCCCTCCTACACCATCTGCTTCTGACTTATGCTGCCACCACAGCTGACCCCACCCTCCCTCTCATTCTCTTTGTGATCCAGAGAATAAATGCTCTCTCCACACCCTTAATGTCTTTGGATATCTGTCCTTCCCAGGGGAAATGCTGGAACAGGTGCTTATGGGTAAGACCTGTCCTGGGAGAGCCAGAGGGGTTTGCAGCTTAAGTGGAGAGATGTCAGCAGAGTCGTTCTGACAGACTGAGTCTCTTTCTGGGTAGAATCTGTAAAAATTTGGAGGCAGGGAGGCATTGAGCAGAATGTACCTGGGGAAAATGTGCCCTTCCTTGTGTAGAGTCTGGAAAGGCTTCTGACAGGGGTGGGACTTGGAGGCCTGTTTAGATGGACACCTGGCAGGGCTCTACAGATGCAGGTGCTGAGGCCTGCTGGCATTTGACCTGGGATCTGCCCTCTGGTGTGGTCTCCTGTTCTCTCATCCCTTCTTGTCCCCTCTTGTTGTTCCCCTTGTGGCCATCCTTTCTTCTGGCTGGACCTCCTTTGGTGCTCAGTGTGGCTTTGACTTCTTTCAGGGCTCTGTGCCTTCAGGGGTGTGTGCATCCCTGTGCACATACAGGTCAGCTTCTCAGCCACTGCACAGATCTCTCTTCAAGATGACATCGCACCGGGCATGCCCATAATCCTAGCGGCTGAGGAGGCTAAAGCAGGAGAATTGTGCGTTCAAAGCCAGCCTCAGCAACTTAGTGAGGCCCTCAGCAACTCAGCAAGACCCTATCTCTAAATAAAGTATAGGGGCTGTGGCTTTGGCTCAGTGGTAGAGTGCTTGCCTAGCATGCGTGAGGTACTGGGTTCGATCCTAAGCACCACATTATAAATAAATAAATAAATAAATAAATAAACAAACAAATAAATAAATAAAGGCATTCTGTCCATCTACAACTACAAAAAAAATTAAAAAATTATATAAAGGGCTGGGGATGTGGCTCAGTGGTTAAGTTTCTCTGATTCAATCCCCAGTACCAAGAAAAAAAAAAAAAAGATGCATTCTGTCCATCTACAACTACAAAAAAAATTAAAAAATTATATAATGGGCTGGGGATGTGGCTCAGTGGTTAAGTTTCTCTGATTCAATCCCCAGTACCAAGAAAAAAAAAAAAAAGATGGCATCACACTGCCTTGTCAAGTGGCTGTTGGTCCCTAGAAGATGAAAACACATTTTGGGACAGCCCCCTGGCCAGAAGGGAGCGATGGAGGCAGACTCTCTGCTGTACATGAGTCTCCCCATGTGCTCAAGCCTGCTGAGGCCTATGGTTTTGTCCCCTCCAGGTTCTGAGCCTTGACCTCGGTGTGGAAAAGATGTTTTAGTGAGGACAGTGTGTTTGGGGAGGCCACTCACTCTGTCCAATGCTTGTTCTGTTCCCTTCTCTTCCTTGTGCTTCCTCCAGGCATGGGGGAAGCAGGTGGAGGATGCCAGGGAGACCTTGGGCTACTCTGCCTGGCAGCCCTGATGACAAGCGGCAGTCCTGACTCACACAGAAATCACTTGGAGAGGAAGACTGGATTGCTCTCTTGGGTGGGATCATGGGACTGGGGCGTGGTGCCCAGTGGACAGCCTTGGACAAAAAAGGCCCACACTGATTCAGATTGTCAGGAAAAGGGAAGGGCAACAGAGGCACTTCCCAGGCAACTCTGGAGACCCCACTTCCTTTTCCCCAGGGCCTCCACCCATTTATGGAGCCCCTAGTGTTTATTAGGTCTGTTTAGATTCTTTTACTCAGTTGAGTCCTATAATTATCCCCTGAGGATAGGGTTTATTATTCCCATTTTACAAGTGAGCAA